TTGTTGAAATTAACTTAAGTTTTTTAAATCTTTTAGAAAAGGAGGAAAGGACGTGACATGTGGCCAAGTATGGTGACCCATACTCGGAATTAGTGCTCTGCATTTAACCTATCCAAGTGCACACACACAGTAGTGAGTAGTGAACACACACCCGGAGCAGTGGGCAGCAGTTGGGGTCTTTTTTCTTGAGGGTGGGAGAGAGCGCTGGTCATTCACTCCCCCCACCTACAATCCCTGCCTGTACGGAGACTCAAACCCGCGACCTTTGGGTTACGAGTCTGACTCTCTAACCATTAGACCACAACTGCCCCATGTGGCATCAAAGAAAACAAAAAAATCGACTTTCATCAACAATGTCTTCTCTTCCGTGTCAGTCTTCGACGTGCATTCACGACAGCACCACAACGCATGCGTGCACATTCCTCTGCTTGCAAACAAGCCATAGCGCATCCGGATTCTACGTCAGAACGCTGGCTTCTGCGTCAGCAGCATCACACGCATGTCATAGTACGCGTGTTGACTGACACGGAAGAGAAGAAATTGTTTAATAAAGTTATTTTTGTTTTCTTTGCACACAAACAGTATTCTTGTAGCTTCAGAAACTTAAGGTTGAACCACTGATGTCACATGGACTAATTTAACGATGTCCTTCCTTTCTGGGCCTTGAACATGGTAGTTGCATTGCTGTCTATGCAGGTTCAGAAAGCTCTCAGATTTTTTAAAGAAATATCTTAATTTGTGTTCTTAAGATGAACGAAGGTCTTATGGGTTTGGAACGCATGAGGGTGAGTAATTAATGACAGAAGTTTCATTTTTGGGTGAACTATCCCTTTAAGTGCCTCAAGGAAAACACTTGAATATTTTTCATAGATTCATTGGCAAACACTGCAACTAATTGCTTCTTCAGAAGGACTCACTGTAGCGGTCTGGTAACTTGTAAACCAAATTTTGACAAGCTGAGAAAATCCTGTTTATCCTGACTCATGGAAGCCACCGGCAATGTATAAGACGGTCCATTGGCATACTGTCAGAGGCTGAGACTAGATCCAAAGTGACTGCTGAAAGACTATTTACTAAAGAATCTTTATGTTGGAGTAATTTGTCTCAAAATAAATAAAAGAAAAGAACAAGAAAATAAACATGTTTAATTTCTTAGTTTAAATGTCAACATCTGTGACAGGTTTCAATTTGTGTAAAAAGGCAATACAGTAATAAAGACTTCACTAGATGTTTAGTTTGCGAAACTTTTTACCATATATGTTACCATTATTACCATATAAAGAAAGGGGTCAAAGTAGACACATCCAAAAAAGTCTTGGCCAGGTGCGAGATCAAAAGGTACATCAAATAATAGAAAAAAGATCTGCACATTGTTATTCTCCCTTTATTCAAAAAAGTTAAAAATAGCAACGTTTCGGTCAAAGACCTTCGTCAGGCAAACACGCATACAAGCAAAGGCAATAGCTCAAGAAGTACCCAGATTCAAACAGAGTTCCAATTGATGACACCTGTTAGCAATCAAAGTCAATCATGTGAACAGCTATAGTATATCACATTTAAAACAAGACAACCACATTGAGGCAAAAATTTAAATACAACCACAATATCAAAAAAATTCTGAGACTCAATTGAGTACGGCTTCCTCTTCATCTTCTTTTTTAGACGATGTGACACCTCGAAGGCGACTAATATCCAGAGGCAATGTGAGAGGAAGAAAAGGAGAAAATGTAGGAGGAGCAAGAAAAAGAGACTTTTCTCCCCGGCGATATCAAACTCGGAGCAGGAAATATCCAATGTGATTAATTTGTCTGATAAAACTATTCCTCCTGCAGGTTTAACCGCCTTGAGTAAAGGACTGTCTTTTGTCCCTACAACCAATTATGATAAATTCAACACCTATGTGGACCTTAAATTTTTTTTTTGAACTTTACGTGTTTTACAGAATTCTTTGGTAATAGATCTATTGTGGAACCCTTGAATACCCTCTCTAGTGTTGAAGATACTCCTCCTTCTGATCACTCTCCCCCTTCTGAAACAACGAGAATTTCTAAATCATCATTTGTTCCTTTTAAGAACAGAAATGCCTCATTAGAAGCGTTCTGTCGTCTTGTAGAGGGGGATGTACGGGAGTATTTTCTAACAAGCGTGAGTACAAAGTTTTTAATAACTTAACTAAGGATGAACGAAGTGCTCTGTTGGATTTAAGAAAAGATAAGAATATTATAGTCAAACCAGCAGATAAGGGTGGTTCCACTGTAGTAATGAATTTTGCTAACTATGACCTAAAAGTGGAAAGACAATTAAGTGATGTCTTTTATAAGAAATTGAGTACTGACCCCACCAATGTTTTTAAGAACGAAATTCAGGAATACCTTCAACAGTTTTTGGATGTTGGTGAGATTACAAAACAGGAGTTTGATTTTATGAAGGTTGATTATCCAGTTACACCAGTCATTTATATACTTCCCAAAATACATAAAGACCTTACTAATCCTCCAGGAAGACTGATTATATCTGGAATCGGGTCTCTTACTGAGAAAATTGCAACATTTGTGGATTTTTTCTTAAAGCCAGTTGTATTTACATTGCCCTCCTTTGTAAAAGACTCTATCGACATGATACAAAATTTTAAATAGATTGTTTTACCTGATGAAATATTGTTTGTAACATTCGATGTTGAGTCTCTATACACTAACATTCCACATGAAGGAGGGATTGAGTCAATAGAAGTCTTTCTTAGAGACCCACATCAAAACAAAAACCCTAGTGTTCATTGCATTAAAACATTAGCTAAAATGGTGTTGACAATTTTTTCAGATACAAAGATGGTTTCTTTCTTCAGATTAAGGGTACCGCCATGGGCAGTACCATGGCCCCAAATTATGCAAACTTGTATGTGGGCATTATTTTTAATGGTCTACAAAATCCCTTTCTCTCAAATATTGTAATTTGGCGAAGGTTATATTGATGATATTTTTATGTTATGGTCAGGTACTGAAAATCAACTGCTACAATTTCACAGTTTCCTTAACACTAGTGATGAACACTTACGTTTTACTGTTAATTATGATGATTCATGTGTTAGTTTTTTGGACATTCGTATTATTAAGAATGGCAAAAAAAATAATCACAGATCTTTACAGAAAACCCACTGATCGTAACACACTTTTGCATGGCCAGAGCTACCATCCTACAACTTTGAAACGTAGTTTGCCCATTAGTCAGTTTAACCGGATACGTCGAATTTGTAGTACTGAACAGTCATATACACAACAAAGCACTGATCTGGTAAACAGATTTAGGGAGCGAGGTTACAATGAAGATTGGATACAGTCTGCTGTTAGGAGATTTGGAAATAAAAATCAAGAGACATCTCTAAATAAAATACAGTTAAAATCAGAAAATAAAACCATTGTATGTGCTGTTCAATATTCTCCTATTTGTTCAGATATAAAAAAGATCATAGATAAACACTGGTATATCTTAAAATCTGATACTCTCCTCAGTGATACCTTTGAGAAAACACCAAGGTTTGTGTATAAACACTCTCCTAATATACATGATCTCCTTGTAAGAGCTGATGTTAGTTTATCTGTAGAACGACCCATTCATTTTCTATCTATCCCTTCGGGTAACTATAGTTGTGGTCATTGTGCCCAATGTAATTTCACTACAAAAATGAATGTCTTCTCTCATCCTCATTCAGGAAGGGAGTTTAAAATTAAGGGTGTCATCACTTGTACTACTAAAAATGTTATTTATATGATCAAATGTCCATGCGGCTTGGCGTATATAGGAAAGACACAATGTGCTTTAAAAACTAGGATTGCAGAACATCGAAGCAGTATACACACAAATGATCAAAAAAATCTGGTAGCAGTACATTTTAATCCAAAAAGGCGTAACCTTTCCACACTTAGGTATATTGGAATTGAACATGTTAAAGTACCTATAGGGGAGGTGGTGATGTCAACAATATCTTATTAAAAAGAGAAGCTTATTATATTAATACACTAAATACTCTTTCCCCTAAGGGTTTGAATTTAGAACTTGACTTTAACTCATGTTTCTAATTGATATATTTTTTTGTATTTAAAGGTGAATGTTGTTGATACAGTCTCGCAAATTAGGACTTTTTGGGAACTTTTTTTTAGACTGGCAGTGATTACAATCACAGTGTTTTAACAACATTTTGGTGGAGATTCATGCACATTTGCGAAACGAATAAAAGAAAGTCTTTGTGAATAGCTGTGGTACATTTACGGACAAATTCTGAAATTTGACTTTAATTTAACAGGCTTCTTGTGTCAATGTGGCTAATGTCACAGTGTATCACCCTTTACTCATCAGGGGTTGACACCAGCTGCTGAGATTTTCCATTACAAAGATAGCTGACATTGTTTTTAACTAGCCGCCCTCTCACTTCTCCGGTTTTGATTAGCAGGAGTGGTGGGAGGTGTGATGCTACCTGACAAAGAGGGGCAAAAAGTCTCACACCTGGGCCAAAATAATGACCTGAAGCTCCTCCAAGCACTTTTTCGCTTCATTCAAGCACTCATTGTTGCGTCTAGTCACAGACAGTGACTGTCCTCAAACCAGATTGAATTTACGAAAGCCGTCTTCCTTCAATGCTGGAAGTTTCTGTCCATCCCCACCTCTTGAACTTTTAAAACGTACAAAGTAAATTCAGTCTAAATCATTTTCCTCTTTCTTTCTTTTCATTTGCCAAAACAATGCCTGTTTGAACAATCCCACCCTAAATAGAAAGAACTTGTAATCAACACATGCATTTCACAGACAAACAAGTGTGAGTGACAAGTGCACAGAAGTAAAGAGATTCTAGAGTTTCTATTCATGTTAGAGATTTCTTATAGTTTCATGTCATGCTCATCTACTTTGTACCTTTGTGGCATTTTGTGCAGATAAAAGAGGTTTAAATTATAAAGCTAATTTTGGATACCAGACAACACAGATATCTTCTGCTATGTGAATGCACCCACCTTCAATATAGAGAGGCTCCACCACATCATGGTTGATCAGCTCAAAGTTCTCATGGCCGATCCAGTGCTCTACATTGCGCTTGCGGCCAGTGAAGAAATTATCCACCACTGTCACTTCATGACCATCCATCATCAGCTTATCAGTGAGGTGCGAGCCCACGAATCCTGCCCCACCGGTGATCTACCAGAGGAAAGACTGTATATCAGTTACATGCCAACATTACTGAAGTACAGTACATAAAGTCATAAATTACTTTTTATTTACTTAAGTTTGAGAAACATTTGAATAAAGCAGCGGTCACATGGGATTGAATCACAACATGGGGTTAAATCGGCACAGTGAGTAATCAGAAGAATTGCGCAGTGTTTCTACTCCCTGCAGTTTCTCGTTTCCTCATTGCTTCTACATACTTCTAGTCTCAATCATCTGGTGCAACGCAGCCTATTGAAAAAACGTCCTCTGAAATAACTATAGTTACTTCACTGTGACATATCTGTCAAATTGGTTAAGCTTCAATCTGTCACTGTAACATTAGAAAGCAGGAGATTTTATTTAATAACGTTTCAGTTGGAGGAAGAAAAATGCCGCTGATCTGTCAAAGAGTGGAAAATGAACAAGGAAATGGCAATAAACAATGATGACCAAATTTAATTTAGTAAGGAGCAAGGGACGCCATGTATATCTGACAGATAGATGTAAATGTATTAGTAGTTCTAGACACTGAAGAAGACTGAAAAGAACTTCTCACCAAAATCCTCTTTCGGTCCTTCTCAGATAGGAATTTCACAGGTGGGTACTTCTGGGTAAAACTGTAAAATGAAAGAAAACCTTAAATAAGCACCATTCAAGACTAATTATCTTCTATATGTCCACAGCACACTATACAGAGACATAAGTGCAAAGAAATGAATGCTAATGAAAAAGGTTCTTTAAGAACTGGATTTTAAGCACATTACATTTTCCTTGCTTCTCTTTCAAAATAGTTCAGCACAAATCCACCAGTCAGTATTAAATATGTCAGTGTCTGAGCGCAGAAACTCAATAACATTTCCAGAATCCAGGTGGATGATTCCGTGCTTGTGATTTTCTCATCCAATTATTCTTGAGTTTCTCAATACTGACAAATGGATTTGTAGATACAGATAACCCTACTCTCCTAGTCCCCTGACTTCACTGATAACTCCATCACTGATCATTTCAACTGTTGAACTGGTCCTAAAGAGGACACTTTTCTTTACATAACTCAGATCTCATGGGTTCTGTGTGCACTCCAGTGAAGCCTCATAAGAACAAAAACCATCAATTCACCCATCAGAATAAATCGCTATCACTGCCATTCTGAAAAGCTGCATTTTAAAAATATACATTTTATTTCATGTCTGTAGATTTTATTGCTGATTGCTATACTTGTTTTATGTCTTGCATGTAGAGCATTATATTCATTAGTGCTATCTGTTATGTTCAAACAACAAGTGTAACTCAAATGTTCATTCTTTGGCTCAGGTTATTCAGGAAAGCAGTGAATTGGCGTTTTGCTTGAGCGATTCAAGAATGAATATTATGAACGTGGAAGAAAAAAAAATTGGGGATATAAAAATGTCACTGCATTACAGGGGAAAGAAAATCATAAATCCTTCCTCCCACATGCGATTTCCCACAGAAGCAGTAAAAATAGTATTTTAGGAGCACAGCCCATATTGATAATACTGGTGGTACCTTGTTAAAAAGTGACAAAACACTATACAAGTTTTGTTATTTTAGCCAAACTGATTTAGCTATAGTAAAAACAAGATTAATTTCATACTGCTGCCACGACACTTCAGCTTGTTTGATGAATCTTCTAACACAGGTCATTTACACTGAGCATCAAGCAATCTCATTTGGGCCTGGCTGAGATGCAGCAAATTGAAGAAAAAAGACAGTTACAAACTGCAGAGACTTCTCATCTCATCTCATCTCATAAAAAAAAAAAAAAAACTAGGGACTGAGGAGTGACTTGTCCCCCTCGTCATGTCAATCAAAGCTTGCTGCACACTATGCTTCAGTTCATCAGCTTCATTTCGTCATGAATTCAGCCCTGCTTATCAGCACATGCCACTTTACGAGGCAAACTCAGTGCAATTTTAGGCTGAGAAATATCCTACGCATAAAACTTTTCTATCCTACTCAAATGATTACTTGTTATTAACGTGTTTTGAAATAATTGTACTATGCAAGATTATTTTATTATCTGTAAAAGACTCAAAAAAGGTAGGTATTCTGGGTGTAAAATAAAAACGTACCTAAGCTCAAGTTCTCGTATCTTCTCCCTGAGAGGTGCCACTGCCTGTAAGAAACAGAGTAAGATATGACCATAAGAACAGGACAGGACGGGCAAAGAAAAGATATATAAGAAACAAAGAGAACAGGAAATCAGAGAAAAATAGAGAGAGTGAGGGGGACTATATCAATTACCCAGGAGAGACTGGGACAGTTAAAGCTTTCTAAAGAAAACAGAACTGATAGAACGGTAGAAATTTATCTCTGACTGAGACAGTCATCAAGCACTATCAGCCCTCAAAATGATTTAAAGATGAATCTGAGAGCAGTCCGTATTACAAGGTTGTGTGACAAGGAGACCAAAATGAACTGGCTTTTGGTGAGGGAACAGGAATAGTTTTCAGATTATTAATCTTTGAATCATTACTCATTCTTTAATTAAGCCACTAATCAGCAGAAAGGTGGGTCACCAAAAGAAATGCATGCCTGACTGCAGCCATTACACTGACTTTTTGCATACTATCTGGAATTTTAAGCAAAACTGTCAACTGAATGCATTTTGAATAAGACATAAAATAGCTTACACTACACATTCACACATTTTTTGTATGTTTTTGAAAGAAGTGCTTAACGTGGCCACATTTATTTGATCAAAAATACAGCAACAACAGTAAAACTGCAAAATATAATAGAATAATCATTACAATTAATTGTTTTCTAATTTCTATTTTAATATAATTTATTCCTGTGATGGAAAAGCTAAATTTTCAGCAGCCATTACTCCAGTCTTCAGTGTCACATGATCCTTCAGAAATGTTTTGCTCAAGAAACATTTCTTATTATTATGAATGCTATGTTTATTATGTGTTAATATGTTTGTGGAAACTGTAATACTTTTTTTTCAGGATTCATTGATGAATAGCATTTATTTGAAATAGAAATTGTTTGTAACATTATAAATGTCTTTACTGTTACTTTTGATCAATTGCATACTTGCCTAATATACATTTAATAATACTGGTAAAAAAATTGCATAATAAATATAATTATATAATAAACCTGACTGCATGCAAATGTGGAGAACAATTTAAAATAAAAAAACAGCACTTTAAAACTTCATTTGTTGGCTTTTCTCAGCAAGTACTGATACATGAAATTAACTATGATTAATTTAACCAATCAGCTTATCATGTAATGAATCTAAATACTTCAACCTATTCAAACACAAATCCTTAAGTATTAGTTGTTTTCATTAAGTATGCCTAACTTTATTAACATGCCAAATGACAGTCAAAATGACAAACTTTGGCAACACTTTATTTTAAGGTGTCCTTGTTACACGTTACATGTACTATAGTATTAGCACAAAATTATGCATTATTACATGCAATAACCCTAATCCTAAACCTAACCCTATAATAAGCACATGTTGTTAATTAATATACTTCATTTGTTGGCTTTTCTCAGCAAGTACTGATACATGAAATGTATAATTACACTGTAACAGTGACACCTTAATATAAAGTGTAACCCAAACATTTGCCTGAGAATAGCAAGAGTTATGATCTGGGTCAAAGAACACCTCCAAACTGTAACACCTCTTTAAATTAAATATCAAACATCAGGCAGGGGAATACATGTCAGCGTTTCTAAAAGCTATCACAGATGCTGACAAATAAGCCTTAGCAGGTGTTGACATACTTTGAACCTTAAGGTCAAGCAGATAGGGGAAACACGTTTTCTAATGAGCTTTCACAAGGTGATAAGCAGACATTTGTGATCTATAATGAGACGATAGAGATCGCAGTTATAGCACTGACTTTTAATGTGAATATACGTGTACAGTACTATAGTATTAGCACAAAATTATGCATTATTACATGCAATAACCCTAATCCTAAACCTAACCCTATAATAAGCACATGTTGTTAATTAATATTACTCACTACTTAAATGTATAATTACACTGTAACAGTGACACCTTAAAATAAAGTGTAACCCAAACATTAGCCTGAGAATAGCAAGAGTTATGATCTGGGTCAAAGAACACCTCCAAACTGTAACACCTCTTTAAATTAAATATCAAACATCAGGCAGGGGAATAAATGTCAGCGTTTCTAAAAGCTATCACAGATGCTGACAAATAAGCCTTAGCATGTGTTGACATACTTTGAACCTTAAGGTCAAGCAGATAGGGGAAACACGTTTTCTAATGAGCTTTCACAAGGTGATAAGCAGACATTTGTGATCTATAATGAGACGATAGAGATCGCAGTTATAGCACTGACTTTTAATGTGAATATACGTGTACAAAAACCAGCATGAGTTAAATTAAATGGGTTTCAAACAAGAGAATACATGTCAGCGTTTCTAAAAGCTATCACAGATGCTGACAAATAAGCCTTAGCAGGTGTTGACATACTTTGAACCTTAAGGTCAAGCAGATAGGGGAAACACGTTTTCTAATGAGCTTTCACAAGGTGATAAGCAGACATTTGTGATCTATAGTGACACCTTAAAATAAAGTGTAACCCAAACATTAGCCTGAGAATAGCAAGAGTTATGATCTGGGTCAAAGAACACCTCCAAACTGTAACACCTCTTTAAATTAAATATCAAACATCAGGCAGGGGAATAAATGTCAGCGTTTCTAAAAGCTATCACAGATGCTGACAAATAAGCCTTAGCATGTGTTGACATACTTTGAACCTTAAGGTCAAGCAGATAGGGGAAACACGTTTTCTAATGAGCTTTCACAAGGTGATAAGCAGACATTTGTGATCTATAATGAGACGATAGAGATCGCAGTTATAGCACTGACTTTTAATGTGAATGTACGTGTACAAAAACCAGCATGAGTTAAATTAAATGGGTTTCAAACAAGACGTGTGTGTGAACTTGTGGTACAAAGTACACTTACTCAAACATGGCGCATGTGAATAACAAATATGACAACTTGACAAGTTAAAAATATAGCAGTCTACACTGTTGCTATGGGTGTTCTAGGTGATTTCTTACTGGCCCAGGTCTGATATTCTGTTTATCAAACATCAGGCAGGGGAATAAATGTCAGCGTTTCTAAAAGCTATCACAGATGCTGACAAATAAGCCTTAGCATGTGTTGACATACTTTGAACCTTAAGGTCAAGCAGATAGGGGAAACACGTTTTCTAATGAGCTTTCACAAGGTGATAAGCAGACATTTGGGATCTATAATGAGACGATAGAGATCGCAGTTATAGCACTGACTTTTAATGTGAATATACGTGTACAAAAACCAGCATGAGTTAAATTAAATGGGTTTCAAACAAGACGTGTGTGTGAACTTGTGGTACAAAGTACACTTACTCAAACATGGCGCATGTGAATAACAAATATGACAACTTGACAAGTTAAAAATATAGCAGTCTACACTGTTGCTATGGGTGTTCTAGGTGATTTCTTACTGGCCCAGGTCTGATATTCTGTTTTTAGGTTCTGCTTCTTACCTACATTTTAAACCAATTCAATATTTTCATATTTTCAATTCAAAGTTTTGTCACCCATTAGGAGGAATTGGTACATCTAAATGCTAAGAAATGTAACAAGTTACTTCATCTTTACAAGCCACATAATTTGATTTATCATTCATGTCTATGGCACCATGGTACAGATTGAGTTACATGTTATAACTTTTAAAAGCAACATGAAGAGTTGCACTGTATTGCTGAGTGAATCGGCATAATAAAAATAATGTTGTTCCATCTGCAACTAATTAAGTAGTGAAAAGTTGTTTTGGCATTCACTGGCAGGTAATTGAAGAGGCAAATAAGAGGGCTTGGTGACGTCAGTACAAAAACAGCACAAAAAGTTCATTTTGAAGAAAATCCTTAAATAACCTTCTCGTGTGTACCAATTATTTCATTTTTTTTTTTTTTTTGTAATTTTTCATATATATAAATCATATATGTGACCCTGGACCACAAAACCAGTCATACTCATAAGGGTCATTTTTTTTTTAAATCAAGATTTATATTCACCTGAAAGCTGAATCCATTGATGTATGGTTTTGTTAAGATATGACAATATTTGGCTGAGATACAACTATTAGAAAATCTGGAATCTGAGGGTGCAAAAAAATAAAAATATTGAGAAAATCGCCTTTAAAGTAGTCCAAATTAAGTTCTTAGCAATGCATATTACTAATTAAAAATTAAGCTTTGATATATTTACAGTAGGAAATTCACAAAATATATTCATGGAACATGATCTTTATTAATATACTAATGATTTTTGGCATAAAAGAAAAATCTATAATTTTGACCCATACAATGTATTGTTGGCTATTGCTACAAATATACCTATGCTACTAATGACTGGTTTGTGGTCCAAGGTCACATATATAGGGCTGTTAAAGCATCTAGTGGTTCAGCTGCCTTCCATGCAGTGCATTTAACTTACATTTTGTATTAATTTTTTTATAGAAAAAAATGGCACATAATTTAATACTATTTAATTTAGGTTTATATTTAATATAGGTGAATACTGTCTAGTACAGGGGTGCCCAAACTCGGTCCTGGAGGGCTGGTGTCCTGCAGAGTTTAGCTCCAACTTGCCTCAACACACCTGCCGGGAAGTTTCTAGTATGCATAGTAAGAGCTTGATTAGCTGCTTCAGGCGTGTCTAATTGGGGTTGGATCTAAACAAAATTACCGTGTTAACGCAAGCGATTAATTTTTCCAGTTTAACGCCGTTAAAAATATTTAACGCAGTTAACGTAGTGGCGGGGCTAGGGTTGGCCACCCCACTCACAACTCTCTTAATTTCTTGACAAGAATTGCATTTATTTAGACGCAGAACGTCTTTAAGACCTCATCAAACGGGAGACTTTTCAGACGCGCACTCCACTTCGCCTCAGCACCAGGCGTGAGCCAAATGCAGAAACGGTACAGGTGATGAGGAGCTTCAGTAGAACAACAGTGAACTGCTGTCAGTTCATATATCAGTACAAACAAATTTTCCTGTCCGGTCAGCCATTATACTCTGCTTGTAGCGCGTGCTCTTCAATTGCGCGCACAAATACGGTGGTGCACGCTGCAGCCTGTATCATTTCATATCAAAGCACAAATGAAAGTATGAGCATATGTGTCAGATCCGCGTCACGTTCAGCAGCGGCAGCTCTTAAAGTAATAGCAGCCAAATAACCCAGCTGCTGTGATGTCTATTAATCAAAGAAAAATAGAAAAAATAGGAAATCAATAACGAAATGACTAGCAATATGGGCACTATCTTCTCTAATACATTAGAAGCTGTTGCCCCCCTTCAGTAGAACAACAGTGAACTGCTGTCAGTTCATATATCAGTACAAACAAATTTTCCTGTCCGGTCAGCCATTATACTCTGCTTGTAGCGCGTGCTCTTCAATTGCGCGCACAAATACGGTGGTGCACGCTGCAGCCTGTATCATTTCATATCAAAGCACAAATGAAAGTATGAGCATATGTGTCAGATCCGCGTCACGTTCAGCAGCGGCAGCTCTTAAAGTAATAGCAGCCAAATAACCCAATAACCAGCTGCTGTGATGTCTGTTCATCAAAGAACAAAAGAAAAAAGAGAAAATCAATAACTTTTGTAGCGTTAAGGATTCATCTGTATTTAATTTAGAATTTAGTGTTTGATAACTTTATTCAATTTCTGTATATTTCCTTGCTGAAGGGCACAGGTAATTATGACATTTATTATAATTGGTTTATGTCAAGATTGTTTTAAGTTCACTTAAATTAGAAGTTGTTCTTTTTTAAAGTCTAATGAATGTTAAAATTGATAGCTCTCAATTACACTTTAATGTTGAATGGCTAGTTAAATATTAGGGGAAAAAAGAACAAATCGCAATTAATTTCAGGAAAAAAAAGTGTGATTAATTAGTTATTTTCTTTAATCGATTGACAGCACTAATATTAATGAAACAAAATACAGTATATTCATTTCATTGTTTAAAAAAGTTAAACTCTTTGACTTTGGGCTGAGGATCACAAGTGTGACTCCTAAATGAGGAATATTAATGCTCCAGGTGTGAAATCAAGCACCAGGCTTTACATCACACACAAAATGTTTATTTATTTCTGTATGTATACCTGTTGATAATACAAAACAGTTTAATGCTGGAATACACCACTGACTTTTGCTCAGATTTTTGCCCAATTTGCAGTCTGGCCAAATCAATGTTAGTTGCTGAAAGATTTTGGCCAGGATATCAAACATGTTTAAGATTTTGAGCCGATTTCAGAACACACATCGTTTTCATTTGTTTCTTGTATGAGGTTGTTGTTGTGTTGGAAATGACTTGAAAGTCTGGTAGTGTGTGATGCTCAGTTTTGATGCCCAGTTTGTCTTTGTAACCATTTACAACATTGGCAAGTGTATGATGCCTAGTGTTTGAAAATCTGTTCAGATTTTAAATGTTGTGTAGTGTATTCCAGCCTTTACCTGTTACCCTTCGCAAAACAGCAATGCCAAAATGGACAAAAATGCCTAAAATCAACACTTTTCAAATAACAAAGACTGGACAACAGCACACATGTAGTCAGGGCAGCATCACGCACAGAGAAAAAGTTTTTGAGGTTTCCAAGCAGAACATAAAACAGATCAGCACTGCTTGTTATTTGCCCCCTGACTAGGAAACTTAATTGCTATCAAAGGCATGAGTAATTAAAATCTTAATTATATGGCGCTCTTGGGTAGCTGCACAATGTTTCCCGAGAGTTTGAAGTGTGGATATCAGCTGTTAGGTACATATGGTTTCCAGTTAAAATGAGGCAGGTGCTGACACTAATAAAAAATTTGAAAAAGTAAAAATGTTAAAATTAGGCAAGTAAAAAAAAAAAATCTAATCAAAGATTGACAATGAATGTGAACAGCTTGCGCTAACAAACCTCATCTATCCTCTGCTCAACCTTCATTTCTCCATGTTCCTGTATAGACCTGTGGAAAACAACAACAGACGGCTTTATCACAGCCACAGAGATACGCAAGTACACAAAGATTGACACTTGCACAGCAGAGCTGTCTGAAGCACACAAAACTCTTCCTCAGCTCAGTCTGGACACGATGAAGATGCTCAGAGTCAACAAAACCCCATGACAGCAGTTGATCAATACCAAAGCTTGTTTCCACGGCCCAGTGAGTAAGTTTAATCTTGGTTTCTGATTAACGCACAGTGCAGCAGTCATTCACGCAGGGATGAGCTATGGGCTTCGATTGGAATCAATGAACACCATAGAAAACTTCAAACACAAAATGACCCACAGTATACACATACCCAGAAGTTGTAATGTGATAAATCTGAGTGAAATAGAATATTCAAAAATAAAGCAGGACTTGATTTTATTAATCTGGAAATGAGTTAACTGTCAAAAGTGGGCATTGCATTAAATATCATTGGTTTGATTCCACAGGAATGCATGAACTAATATTTTATCATGGTTCCATTTTTATTTCATGTTGACGGTTTACACGTTTACACATTTTACCATATTTAAACCTATTCTGCTGACCTCCACCAACATTCCAAAACAATATACTGGTGTTGACGATAACTGTGATATTTAAAAAATGAAATATTGATATAATGTTAATACTACACATACGATAATATCAGTCTGGTTGACATTCCAGCATAGTAGGAGGCAATACTGCACTATCATAAAACAAAAGCAGCCATATTTTGAGTGTGATTCATTGGCCAAAAAAAAAGAGAAATTATAAATTCGACTGATATTTATTAAAAGCCCCAAGATGGCAGCTTTAAGCCCATCTGAGCAAAACAACTGTAAATCTGACATCTAGTTTTTCCAACATTTACTGGAAAGCTGAATTTTTTTGCAGTAGATCGAGCTGGCAAACTGTCTGAAACATTTTCTAGTACTACAAAAAGAAATGATAATTACCTCATATTTGCGTAGGTTCCCCAGACAGCTAAAAGAAGAAAGAAGAGAAGACATCAGTACCAAACCAAATATCACACAACAAATGCAAATTGATTCTCAATAAACAGTTTTACATCATTACAATTCAATTCTACATCATTAATTTTAAAAAAGATACAAGCTGTTAGACATTTAAGCAGATGTTAATAAGTCTGTTCAGTTGAAAAGGGAAGATATACGTTATCAGTTCAAATACAGTTCATGTCCAATATCTATAACAGAAAGAACAGAAGAAAGAAAATGTTTGTTTAAAGGGTCATGAAACTCCCTGTTTCAGCACATTTAGTTCTCGACACAGTTTTGAAAAAAAAAAAAACGTTTTGGTGCATATTAAGCTGTGGTGTCCAGAAGGAACAGGGGAGACAACAGCTTCGAAGCCATTCAGTTTTATTTCGTTCTCAGAGTTAAAAGCATCAAATGTTCCCACAAATACAGGCTGCAGTTCAACACTGCACACATCAAAACAAACAAATATTAAATATGGGTTTTATAAGCTCACAGAACATTACACAAATACACACATACCCTGTCATAGCTATGATTTAAATGCACAAATATATGCACAAATGTTTACATTTGTAACTCTGCATCAAAAATATATACAGTATATATAGTTTTAGTGTTATTTTTGCAATGTTTATATAAGCTGTTTGATTGGATATATCAATGAGCTCTAAAGATACCAGGCAGAAACTACAAAGTGAAAAACAAACAGTCACTTGAGATCCATGAACGAGTCTCAGCTACTCTACATGATCTCACAGTTTGAAGCATCTGTCATAGGAAAGCTAAACATACTGGTGTGAATAAAGAGAAGCGTCTTCTCATAGTATAACGATACAACATCTCATGAATAATTATGAGACACTGATGAGTTACTGATGTGCTATAATCTCACATGATAACGATTTTAAAGCCTGAAGATGAAAATAGCTCAAAGAAGCTTAAAATGAATCAATACCCATTTCAAGACCCGTTAAAAACCTGTAGACACTTAAAACTCCAGTAAGAATGTAACTGTAACTGAAAGGTGAGTGTCAGTCACTGGTTGGATTGTTGGCTGTGATTTTGCTGATACTACAGTACTTAATTAAGCAGTACTGCTTCTATCTCAAAGGCAACATGACCAGACTCATTCACACATGTGAAAGAATAAAAGTTGAATATCTAGGCTATAAACAATATTAACATGATAAATTAATACTGTATCTATCAAGTAAGTCTTCAATCAACTGATTTTCTGATCAAAGCCCACATATGTAGAAAAGATGAATCTGTCTTGGGAACATAAGGTTGAACCTTCATATATAAATCATTATTATGAACATTAATAATGCAAGCATGTGCCCTTTACACTTTAATAAAGATGTTGTGAAATATAATTTCTCTCTATAACATGCACAAGGCTACATATTGCAAAGACAAACAACTCAGACCTGCCAATACGATTTAAACATGAGTAGGAATTAAGCAGGTGAAAATCAACACCATAAATAATAAACCATCCTGTCCACACATTCACTACAGTTGAATATCACAAACAAGAGCTCATAGTTCTTGAAATGTTTGAAATGTCTGGACAGTCTGGGTGAACAAAAAAAGAAGAAGGTATAAGAAGAATCCAAGGCAAAAGGTGAGCGTGAACCGGAAACCTGCTCTCCAGAGGAAAACTGGAGAGGTTATTATGCAAACCCCTCCGTTTCCAATCTGGCTTGCTCTTTCCCAGTGGCCTTGCTGCTGTCGCCACAAATTCCTGGGAGCGGCATGATTTTCAGCATGGACGGCCAGGGGCCAGCTTGGCGTGTGCCACCTGATGCCATGTCAAACATGAGAGGCGCAATTTGATGCGACCCATTTGAGGGCGGCAGAACCAGATGCCCAATGGAATAAAGATTTATTTTATTTTTTTAAAGAACGTCTCTCTGCTTTTTTTTGGCCATTGGAAGTCAATTTTCACCTTAAGTGTTACCAACATTCTACAAAATAGCTTTTATTTTCCACAGAAGAAAGAATGTAATACAGGTTTGGAATGACATGAGGGTGAGTAAATGATGACAGAATTTTCATATTTTAATGGAACTATCCTTTTAGGCAGTGGCCAAGACACACATACAACACTATGTTGATTTTGACCTTTTGAAATGCAATTTAGTCTGATAAATCAATTCTTGTTTGATCTGAGCAAAGCACAGAAGAACTGGCACTTTTAGAAATAAAGTTTATGGAAAGAGCTCAAGTGAACAGGAAAACATGCCCAGTTACATCTGGCCAAGTTCTCACAGTGGTAGTGGCTAAATTATTTTTAGTCCTGCCTGTCGTGAAAATTGTGTTGTGGGGCAGGTGGGAGGCAACGGTAGACTGGTTTGTCAAGGTCACTCTCTTGGTGAACAACTCTGTTGAGTCCTGGGGGCCTCTTTATAGGGATCAAAAAGAACTAGAGCAGTCATTTCTCAAAGTAGCATTCCCTATGACCCAAATTCATCTTTCTGAATTTCTCCAACCTGGTTATGGGGTCTCCAGTGACTTAAAACTCAAGTCTGTGCAATATGTGTAAGTGGTTGCAGTTGTGTCTCTAGAGTCTTGGCTGAGTATTTACCAAAGCTCATATTAATAAAATATTGTGCAAGAACACATTGTGCACTAGGGCTGTGCGATATTGAAGAAAAATGCGATTGGCCATTGGAAGTCAATTTTCACCTTAAGTGTTACCAACATTCTACAAAATAGCTTTTATTTTCCACAGAAGAAAGAATGTAATACAGGTTTGGAATGACATGAGGGTGAGTAAATGATGACAGAATTTTCATATTTTAATGGAACTATCCTTTTAGGCAGTGGCCAAGACACACATACAACACTATGTTGATTTTGACCTTTTGAAATGCAATTTAGTCTGATAAATCAATTCTTGTTTGATCTGAGCAAAGCACAGAAGAACTGGCACTTTTAGAAATAAAGTTTATGGAAAGAGCTCAAGTGAACAGGAAAACATGCCCAGTTACATCTGGCCAAGTTCTCACAGTGGTAGTGGCTAAATTATTTTTAGTCCTGCCTGTCGTGAAAATTGTGTTGTGGGGCAGGTGGGAGGCAACGGTAGACTGGTTTGTCAAGGTCACTCTCTTGGTGAACAACTCTGTTGAGTCCTGGGGGCCTCTTTATAGGGATCAAAAAGAACTAGAGCAGTCATTTCTCAAAGTAGCATTCCCTATGACCCAAATTCATCTTTCTGAATTTCTCCAACCTGGTTATGGGGTCTCCAGTGACTTAAAACTCAAGTCTGTGCAATATGTGTAAGTGGTTGCAGTTGTGTCTCTAGAGTCTTGGCTGAGTATTTACCAAAGCTCATATTAATAAAATATTGTGCAAGAACACATTGTGCACTAGGGCTGTGCGATATTGAAGAAAAATGCGATTTGCGATAACTCATTAAATAATGCGATATTCAATATGCGATACGATAATGCTTAAAGTCCCACATGCTCAGATGAAACACTTTTACTCAGCTATTGCTGAGTCAGTTCTGTGAACTTCTTTAACTATCCTGTGTCATATATATAGTTATTTGTATGCATGTATGTACCAAGAGTTCCTGTAAAACCCCAACAAATTCCTTGTGTTTGCGCACACTTAAGTGGTGAATATAGCTCATTCTGATTCTGATTCTAACAAGAAAGCCCCCCAACAACAACTTCTGAAAGTGAACGGTAGTGTTTTACTCTAGCATTACATAAAAATTTAATTTTAACATTAGTGTAATCATTTTAACATAAGTTTAGGAACTGAATAATAAAAACGAAAAATAAAACACTGCTTAGTATTTACTCTTTGAATTCAGGTAAGAGCAGTGAGTGATTTTCTCTTTGTCTTTTGTTCATGGCCCCAAATATTGCAAGCTGTAGCGATATGCATATTGCGATATGTACATTTGCGATATTTCGATAATTTCGATATATTGCACAGCCCTATTGTGCACCTTTGAATAAGACTTGCTAAGAAAACTGTATTATAAAATAATGTACAGCAGTTTCCAGAAGTTTGGCAGGAATACATTAAAAATACATTAACTGTAAGGTGAATGTGAAATGAATGATGCACTGCTCAATCAGGAGGTTACCAAACCAACCAATCACTCTATAAGCACATATCAATCATTTTTTCACCAAGAATATTTCAAAAGCAGATCGCCCGCTCAGTTTATTTCATCATATTGAAATGATGTGACCCACAGTGTTTCACTAAATGTGGAAGAGAATCCTCATGCTCTTTGGCTGCCACCTAACACACACTAGTAGTGCAGTGTTGTTTGGTCTTGTGAAGAACGAGAATTAGACAATGAAACACACTTATTATCGTGCTATACCAGAGGAAACAACAGGAGAATCACTACCTGTATGACCAAAGATGCAGAAGATCCGAAGCCAGAAAACAAAAGACAAAATTTTAAATTGAGCGTAAACATTGGTATGGTATCGGTAAGATGTAGAGATCTGATGACTCAGTTGCTTCTTTTTTTTTGGGGGGGGGGGGGGGGGGGGGGGCGGGGGGAGAGGCTTGTGATACTTTTTTCA